CCCCCCCCCGGGGCCGGTGCTGCCAGTGGGAGCCGCGCGCCCTTAGCCAGCCCTGTGGAAGGCCAAACCCGGAGCGTCTCCTCCCTCCGTGCCAGGGAGTGCAGGGCTCTGCACCCACCTCCTGCCTGGTACTCCGCTGTCCCCAGCAGGTGCAGATGGCTCCGGTGAGGCAGGTAGCAGCTCAGCTCCCCACGGGGCCCCCCTGCCCGGAGAACGGCCACCGCAGCCACCGTGCCGTTCCTCGCCGCGCCCTGTGCAGCCTCCAGACGATGTCACTCGGGCGGGCATGGCCCATCTGCTGGCAGCTGGGATCCAGGCTGCAGGAGGCCATCAAAGGGGCGCCGAGGCTGGCCACGGGGGGATGCAGGCTGAGCATGCCACAGCTGGGCTGCGGCGTAGGGATCCTACTGCCGGGGCTGTTGGCTCCTGGGGAGAGAGGCAGGACACAGAGAAGAGGGGAGCTGGGGTCTCTGCCAGGCGGACACAGGTTGTGGGCCCCCAGAACGGGCCTGTCTTGGTTTAGCCCCCAGCCCTGCTCCCAGGATGCTGCACCTACACTGGCAGGCTGCCCGGAGCCCCGAGAGAGCGGGGGCATGCTCAGTGCTACCCTAGAGCCAGGCCTGCCCATCGAGCAAAACTGCACTGGGCCAGGAGGTGAAAGCGACCAGGGTCTCGCCTGCTCCCTGCAGGAGGGTTCCAGGGCAGGGAATTGGTCTGGGCCCGTTTTCCTCCTCCTCAAAACCTGCACTAGAAACCTGCCTCCACGCTGGCCGGAGCAGGCCCCCCAGGCGCTGGCTGCTTTCCGCTCCGGGGCTTTCCCAGGCTCTTGGAAAACTCACTTAAGTCAGCACACTTGAGCGGCCCATGGAGGGGACGCCGGACTGCCCAGTGTGGACACTTAGTAGATGCAGTACCCACTCGTGGGCACTAGGTGGAGCCAGGGAGAAGAATCCAGACAGGCCCTGGATTTGCTTTTCTTGGGAACACGCCGAATTGCAGCAGCTGCTCGGGGAACCCGGGTCTGTGCGAATGGAGGCCGCTTGCAGCCCCAAAGCCGGTGGAATCACGGCCACCCACTTGCTGTTGTCTGGAGCAGCCACCCCGCCTCAGGCACCCGTTTGCAAGCGCAAAGAGGCAGGCAGATAACCACCCCCGTGCACGCACCCAGCCTGGGGGAGGTGGAGAGAGCTGGGCAGAGGCCACAGGGTCGAGCACTGCCGGGGTGCTATTGTCTTGCCACACACACATGGGCAGATGGGGCCACAGGCTGCCGCGGGAGGCAGGAGGGGAGGAACTGAGCTGAGGCAAAAGAAACAAGACAGGGGCCAGGCGGGCAGACAGTGGCACTTGCCGTCAAACGTACAATATGTGCAGTGTGGACTGTGGGCAGCAGAGTGGCCTGACGTTGGGGAGGGGCAAAAGGGGCAGTTTTTCCAAGATCCCCATTTAAGCGGCTCCCAAGCGAGTGGCGTTGCAACCTGGCACGTGGGGGTCCGAGCCCCACTCAGCTTTGGCCCGTCCCGAGGAGCAGGGCTCTGAGCTGCATGCCCAGGGCGGAGAGCAGGCTCAGCTCTCTGGCGAGAGGAGTGCAGAGTGGGCTCGCTCGCCAACCCAGCAAGAGCCGAGTGAGGTGCAGGTTACGAGGGTGAGGGGCTGGGGCCAACGCCGCAGCCGTCAGAGGGCCACAGGGGTCAGCCATCAAACCAGGGATCCCCCCGGCTCACGTGGTGCACGTGTGTGCGACGTGACAAGTTTCCTGGGACCAACAGGCGTGTTGTGAGCAAGACACGAGGAGTCGTTCTTCTGCTCTACTCTGCGCCGATCAGGCCTCAGCTGGAGTCTTGTCTGGTTCTGGGCACCACATTTCAAGAAGGATGTGGAGAAATTGGAGGTCCAGAGACGCGCAACAAAAATGATTCAAGGACTAGAGAGCAAGAGCTAGGAGGGAAGACTGAAAGAACTGGGCTGGTTTAGTTTGGACAGGAGAAGACCGAGAGGGGATATGACAGTGGTTTTCAAGCACTTAAAAGGGTGTTACAAGGAGATGGGAGAAAAAATATTCTCCTTGGTCTCTGAGGACAGGACAAGCAGCAATAGGCTTAAATAGAAGCAAAGGAGGATCAGGGTGGTTCAGCACTGGAAGAAGTTGCCCAGGGAGGTTGTGGAATCTCCTTCCCTGGAGATATTGAAGAGCAGGTTGGACAGACGCCTGGCAGGGATGATCTAGATGGTGCTTAGGGCTGCCAGATGGTTTCAACACAAATACCGGACACGCTGGACATGACATCACAATCGACATCACGTCTGAGTTAGAAAACACCCGACAGTTCTAGTGTCTCAATTTGTTTCCCCAACAGAAAGCTCCAGTACTGGACGGTCCGGTTCAAAACCAGACACCTGGCGACCCTAGTGGTGCTGGGTCCGGCCGTGAGGGCTGGGACTGGACTCGCTGGTCTCTCGAGGGCCCTGCAGCTCTAGCGTTCTAGGAGTCTAGGAGTCTGTGGTTCTCTGGCAGCTCTACAGTGGCAGGGCTGGAAAGGGAAACAGCCACCTGCAATGAGCGTAGGAAGATGGGGCCCTGAAGCACAAGCCCACGTACTACCGGCCTGGAGCGAGGCCTGCAGCCTAGACAGCACTGTCAAGGCTTTGCTAATATAAAGCCGAGTTAAACGGTGAGCAAGAGGTAGGCCCCACGCGCGGACGTCGGCAAGAACGGGGCTGATTTCACAGCAGCGTTTGTACCTGCGAGGCGCGAGGCGCGAGGCACAGGCCGGGCAGTAACAGGGCACCCGGTGGAGAAACCCCTCACAGGTAACAGGAATGAACCAACCCTGGCTCAGGACAGTCTCGGAACTGACTGCGTGGCTGATAGTGAGCCTACAGGGTAACAGTGGCTCTAGGGACGGCGGGCTGGCACCCTGATACGTCAGCAGTGATGGGGGACTTGCTTGTCCCTGGGTGCATAACTGTAGTAAAATATAGTAAAAACTATGTGTGCTTCTTCCCCCTTCCATTACTTAAGCTTGAAACAGCACATATCTAATTGCGCATGTTTTAGAAGCTGTAGTAAAAAGGGGACCCACCTGGAGCACTGGCCTGGGAAGCTGTTACTGCGCTTTGTTTGCACTGGCCTGGCCTGGCGCCTTTGGTCCTTGTTCCATTTTGTGGTCCTTGGGGGCTCCTCAGAGTCTGGTGCCAGCCAGCTGAGCAGTGCCAGTACGACAGGCAGAGGGGCAAGGACGCAGCCGAACGGTGAGACACCCCCTGGCCACTCCTGACAACCGCAAGGAGCAGGGACAACAGACTGGAGACGGCCTGCTGCCGGGGGAAGGGGGGGGAGCAAGCTCCTAGCCCCAGCACCATGCGACTGCAGAGTAGGATCAGGGACTGCCCAGCCGGCGACTCCTTGGGCAGGCGGGAGCGTCCCAAGGCTGACGGGGACCAAGGGCAGAGGCTGCTCTGGCTTGCGTCTTGCCTTTGACATCAAGATGGAAGATGAGGGAAGATTCTCGCTCTGCTGCAGAAAGACCTACAGGGTCTGTAACAAGCTCAGATGCCACGGGCCTTACTTTTACCTCTCCTCTGGGAGGTGTCCGCAGCTGCGCAGGGCCTGCTATGGCACCGCCCTGGGATTCGGTACCTACTGCAAAGAGGAGCAGCACCTAGGTTTTCCATGGAAAGCTCCCCCAGCTCAGCCCTAGGGCCGGGCTCCCTGGGAGTAACTCTGCCTCAGGGATTCATTGTTATCTAGAGACCAAGGCCAAAGCCAGACGCCCCATGGTTCCTTCCACCTAGGACCATTGTAACCAAATCACGACAAGCATTCCTTCCCAGACTAAAACCTTGCTCGCACGCTCAGAACGTGGCCGGCTGGAAGAGCATCACCCGGAGACGAAGTAGAATCGGTAGCATCGGACGCTTCAGCACGCACGGCATTTGGAACGGGGCAGGTTTATCTTCGTACCAGGGAGGGCAAGGGCCACTTGTCGAACTCGCGAGAGCATTGCAGGATTGGCCTTTAAAGAGGGAAGCGCTAAGGGGACACATTCACCCGGTGCAGAGAACTAGCAGAAGCTCCGTGCACCATCTACCTCCCTGCCCTGGGCATAAGTGGGGTAGAAGCTTGGTGACGGCCATCTGCCAGGTGCGTGTCCCCTCCTGTACGTGACAAATGGATCCTCAGCTGCTGGACATTCAAACTAGGCCACTTTCCGGCACCGCAGCGCACCCTGTCTCAGTGCCTCCGGCTTACACAAGGGCACGGAACCAGGTACTGAAATCGGTGTCGCTCGTAGGTGGGAATGGCATCCCTCCCCCTGCAAACATGCCAATATGCCTGGCCCAATTGGGAAGCCAGGGGGATGCTATTTGCCCACCATCAATTCCAATCTGGTGCAGTTGGGTTGCTACCTCGGGGCCGCATGCTAATCCCGGGATGTTTTCTCCACAAAGAGGAAACCTTTCAGTGCTAATCAGAAGCAAATCCCTGCAGAGCTACGGAGCGGGGCTGGCCCTACGCCAGTGACACACACAGGGGGGGGGGGGGGGGACTTAAAATATGTAACCAAACAGCAGAATTGCCCTAGAGAAACAACACAGCAGCAGCAGAGGGAGGCCCGGCACAGAGCCGTGACTCACGGAAAACCAGCCCCGGCATCCGGAGATGGAATAAACAAGCTCACTGAAACAGTCAGCAGGTGTGTGGGGCTGGCGGCGACCTGCTGCATCCATCAGCCTCCTCGCTTCAGCCCATTTTCCATCTCCGGTCAAAAGCCTTTGTGCTCCTCTGGGTGTTTCTCACTCTCCCCGAGCCTGGCTTGGGGCAAATCTGCGGGACTCCACTCCTGCGCGTGGCAGAGGGAGGGGGTGCAGGGAACAAGGCAGCCGTCTCTGTGCTCACTGTGTCCGGGGGCTTGCTGCTTGGATGCTGGCGCGAGTTAGAGCAGCCCGGTGGTTGCTCTACTTTACACTCTGCTTCGTGTCCCCCCCACACTCCTCATGTCCCCGCCTCCTCCCCCTCTTCCTTACCGGACCTGGAGATGCCAAATGAGAACATCCACGGCAGCATCACATTCAGCCACATTCTTGATGTCACGTCACGAACGACGGCTTTGGTGGGAAACCTTTACAAAAATAAATGGGGGGCAGGGGAAAGGGGACAACAGGAGTCTGATCCGGATCCCCCTTGCCCTAGTGTGAATCAGGAGTGACACCACTGACGCCAGTGAACGTATCCCCCTTGGCCCTCGGAAAGCAGCAGGCGCATCCGCATCCGCAAAGCAACAGGGTTTGGAACAATTCCTCCTGGTTCTGGATAAGCTGGGCTAGAAAGGGACACAAAAGCAGCTTTAATGCCATGAACCTGTGGGAGCAGCCAGATTCCCTGGTGATGGGCAGGGCGTGAGACTAAATAAACCCGATCCGCACTCTCTCTGTGCCTCAGCACTTCCCCTGGGCGATGGGGGCTCCTCCTCCTCTCACAGCCTGGGTCCAGCGCTTAGAAGCAGGGTTGGACTCTGGCTGTAGGTTCTCACCCGGGGCCCACAGCTCCCGGTATCCCTACCCAGCGAGCACAGAACTCCTTTGCGGTGAGGCCCACGGGCGTCCCTGCCTCACTCGCTCAGCAGGGACAGGGTCTGGCCTCTGCCTGCTTCCCCCAGCCCCCTACACCTGGGGGCTCCCAAGCCGCAGAAGCCCTGGCTGGCCCAGCATAGGGTGGGCTCTGCTCAGCCCGCCTGGGAGCAGCCTGTGAACAGACACAGTGTCTCCCAGGCCCGCTCCTGGGAGGACTTCGAAAGCGCCTTTTGGATGCCAGCCAGGGAGGCATTTCCATGGGGCTGGGCCGGTCTCCTGCCACCCCCCACGCTGCCCTGGGAGCTGCAGCCTTCAGCATCCCTGTTGTAACTGAGCAAGTCACTGGCAGCCCCAGGCAAGGAGCAATGGGCTCAGCCTCCCCTCCCTCTTCCGAGCGTGCCTGTGGCAAAGCTTTGTTTGGGGGGTGCGGATGGGGTGAGACAAAATCCAAGCCCTAAAGCAAGAGCTCTCCTGCTCCTGGCGGGGATTCCATTCTCTCCAGAGGACCGCTCTGTCGAGAGGGAAGATTTGGCTGGAACGACAGAGTGCGATTAGCGCTGCCAGTTACTGGCTCTTTAACGAGATGAATAGTGGCTCTTGAGGAGACTTCCGTGGGCAGCCACCCCCCCAATGCGATTGATCCTTCAGTCGCGATCGGATTTCCCACTCACGGGCTCCTTTCTGCCGAGGATAGCGCGTCAGGCACTAATTACAGACTCGCTACCACCCCCTCAGACACTGTAAGTTAGGGGAAGAGAATCACTCATTCTTAGACAAGGAAACTGAGGCACAGAGTCGAGACAGTGACATGCCCAAGGATGTGCGCTGAGTCAGTGGCAGTGCTGAGAATGAACCCCCAGCCCCAGAGCCCCTTGCAACCCTTCCAGGAGGAGGAGGAACATCAGCCAGCCTTTCCAGAGGCGCCTACCCACGGCGCAGGAAGGAAGTGGAGAGGATTTAACTGCAGAAGGAAGCGCTTCCCTCGCGGCATCCACATCGGGCCGTTTCAGCCACCGCCTGGGGCGCAGGGAGGAAAACTCTGGCGCTGGAGCTTAAGCAAAGTCCCCGCTTGCCCAGGTCTCCAGCGCAGGGAGGGACGCGCTGCTGCGCTGCAGACCCGACCCCAGCTGGCTCCAGTGGCCTTTGATCAGGCCCCAGCGCCCAGGCAGCAGCGAGGGGTGGCTGCGGGTTACCAAGCCCCTCTCGGGCGTCCCGTCCGCAGCAAGAGGTTCTTCCCCATCCCGAGAACAGCGGCGATTTCCGCGCCTCTGTGCCTGGGGCCAGCCGGGAAGACCGGCACAGCCCGGTGCTCTCCCAGCTCCTGGGGCGGGCAGGGCTCCTGCCTCCCCCCTGCCCCCCCCCTCCCCCCCCCCCCCAGCGCTGCTCCCACTCCAGGCCCGAGAGCAAACCCTGCCAGGACTGGGACTGGCAAAACACGAGTCAGTCCCACTGCCCCGTCTCCGGCACCCGCCTGGCAGCTCCCCCCGAGCTGCCCCTCCCGGCCCCTCCCGCCCCCCGCTCTCTCCCTGCCCAGCCTCCCACCGGGCGCAGGCTGATCTCGGAGAGTGCCCCATCCCATGGGCTCAGGGACAAGGGGCGGCTGCCTGAAGCCAGCGCTTTCCCGCCAGTACCCCGCAAGCACCAGGGGCCCTTCCCCTCCGGTTTGTGGCTGGAAGTGGGATGCCCAGGCCACGTCACAGGAGACCTGGCTAATCCACGCGCACCTCTTGGCCTGGCCCGGGAGTTAGACGCAGGCAAGTTAAATGCCCCCCCCGCCACAGACAGACTCGCGCTCACTGGAAAGCTGCAAAACCAGCTCGGCACGGTGCTTCGGGGGCTCTGGGCTGGAAAGGCGGCGCTGCCCCATCGGAGGCACAATGCGATTTCCAAAGGGGACCCGCAGGTGTCATATGGCCAAGGTAGTCCCGTTGCAAGGGGTGGTTAAAGGTTACAGGCAGGGCTCCCTCTAGGGTTTTTCCATGCGCAGAATAAATGTGCTGTGCACCCAGGCATGTGCAGATGTGCACCACCAGCACAAACCCCCCTGGCGTCTGTGGGGCTCTGCTAATCAGCTGGGCAGCATTTGAATCCCTGGTGACAGGCCAAAAGCAGAACCCCATCGCGCTGGGTGCCGCAGACACAGCCCCTGCCCCGAAGAGTTTATGATCGAAACGCATGGCAGATGGGGGACTGAGCCCCTGAGAGATCAAGTGACTCCCCCAAGGCCCAGCACACAGGCAGTAGCACGACTGGGCATCAAACTCCTGCATTCCGAGGCGCATCCCAGATCCCTGGTGACAGGCCAAAAGCAGAACCCCATCGCGCTGGGTGCCGCAGACACAGCCCCTGCCCCGAAGAGTTTATGATCGAAACGCATGGCAGATGGGGGACTGAGCCCCTGAGAGATCAAGTGACTCCCCCAAGGCCCAGCACACAGGCAGTAGCACGACTGGGCATCAAACTCCTGCATTCCGAGGCGCATCCCAGCGGGTGCTACTGCACGTCCAGCCCCTCCCCGAGGGAGGCAGCTCCCAGCCTGCTGGGCTTCCAAGTGTGTCTGTTCCGCCCCGACAGTCGTACAGCAAAACTCCATCTTTCGGGGGGGGGGGCAGTCCCACGGCAAAGCCCATAAACAACGAGGCTGGTGCCTGTCCTGCGGGAGGGCGGAGGAATCGCTCGCAATTAGCGCGACAGGTAATAGCGCAGCTCCGCCAATTGCAGCGCAGCTGCGCAAGGAGCGAGCTTTAAGCGCCCATCGAGACTCGGCGCGGAGTATTACCCGGTCCCCGAGCAGAGATCGAGTCTTCAGCGGAAGCCATAAAGCCGCGAAGACAGGCGCCTGCTAGGCGCACAGGGGCGGCTCCGGCACTCTGCTGGGATCGGGAGCTTTTGTGCCAGACGGAAGATTGTAGCAGCCAAGGACGCCCCTTGCTTAACACGTCGGTGGTTGGCGAGGAGCTGTGGGGCGCTGGGGGGTTACGGAGCCGCTACTGGGCGATTGCGCAGGTGGGGGAGAGTTTTCCCTCCTAGTGAGATTCCTTGGGCAGAAGTTTGTCTCGGCCCAAGACTGATCCGTAGGGGAGCTGAGCATCTGGGATTCCCATCGAGAGCCCCCGAAACGTCGGGTCTGCTCCGGGGACCAGAGGGGGGCCATGCTGTACGACGCGCCCCCCAGTTGGTTTTACACGAAAGGCTCGGAGACCAGTGATAGGCGCCAGCGTAAGACCCCAAACAGGCAGCGGGCCACGGCCACATTCTGCCTACGGTTTTACCTGGGTAACCACATTGTGGTGGCAGCTCAGCCTTGGGGGGCAGCCTTCTCCCCCGCGTCACAGCAAGGATCAATCACTGAGAAATCTGCCCCAGGCCTGCCCGGGAAGTCAGTGGGCAGCAGCTGTCCTCCAACAGCGCAGACTCCCCCTGTGACCTTGGGCAAGTCGCTTCACTTTTCCGTGCCTCAGTTTCCCCATTTGCCCCATGATCACTGCCCTATTTCGCAGGGATGTTGACAGGATAAACACAGAGACACTGAGGGACTATGGCAAGGGGGGTCAGATAAGGACAGGACTTCCTGTGCTGTCAGCTTTGGGATCCACAGGATGTGGGGGGGCCATGGAGGTTTGGCAATTTGGGGAAGACCTAGCTTGGGGTGGGGGTCCTCATGATTCCTCGTGAGATCCTGGTGTCTCTTTACCTGGACTGGGCGTGGTGCTAGGAAAACCTCCCTTGCGCTCTGTTCACTTGCGGCCCTGATCGCAGCCAGCTGAAATCAGAGAAACCAACCAGCAAAAGTCTCATTTCAGCAAACCTCAGAAACTGAAGGGCCCGGGGCACATGGGAGGGGCTAGGGAGCCGCCAAATTCAAGGGTCCCCCCTTTTAAAAGCCAAACTGCTAAGTTCCAGCCGCTTCCTCCCCTCTAACACCCACCCACCGTCTCCAGCTAGCCGCATCCCGCTGAACACACGCACGGCTCCAAACCGCAGCTCCCCCCTTTCACCTGGTTTTGAAATGCGGTTTCCAAACAGCTCATCAAGCGTCGGGGGGAGCCGAGCTGGTCTGTAACAGGAACAACTTAAAACAACCAAGAGTCTGGGAGCACCGGACAAACCCTGTGATGGTACCGGGGCGTTGTGGGCACAGCCCGCTTCTGCGGGGGTTAAAGAAACGGATACTCGACTGTCTAGGGACCAGCCTGCTGCTTCTAACCCTGGCTCACAACTGTCTACGAGACTTTCGACTGACGCGGCGACAAGCAGCGAGCGCCCGAGGGCCGCGGGGATGCGACACAGCGGTAGCGATAAACCAGCTGTTACCCCTCAGCCTGCAGAGGTCACGAGGTGGAACCCGCCCTCGCAAGAGGAGAAGTGGGGGGGGGGGGGGTCTGTGCCGAACAGACCTATGCTCTGCCTCACACACACTTCTGAAATGCGCGCACACGTGCAGGCACACCCCCCTCTGCTCACACACACACACACACCTGCTCTGACACACCCACCCCCGCTCTGAAACACACCCCCCTCTGCTCTCACACACACACACACACACACCCCTCTGCTCACACACACACACACACACACCCGCTCTCACACCCCCCCCCGCTCTGAAACACACACCCCCCCCGCTCTGAACCACACACACACACACACCCCTGCTCTGAAAGACACACACACACACACCCCTCTGCTCACACACACACACACACACACCCGCTCTCACACCCCCCCCCGCTCTGAAACACACACCCCCCCCGCTCTGAACCACACACACACACACACCCCTGCTCTGAAAGACACACACACACACACCCCTCTGCTCACACACACACACACACACACCCGCTCTCACACCCCCCCCCGCTCTGAAACACACACCCCCCCCGCTCTGAACCACACACACACACACACCCCTGCTCTGAAAGACACACACACACACACCCCTCTGCTCACACACACACACACACACACCCGCTCTCACACCCCCCCCCGCTCTGAAACACACACCCCCCCCGCTCTGAACCACACACACACACACACCCCTGCTCTGAAAGACACACACACACACACCCCTCTGCTCACACACACACACACACACACCCGCTCTCACACCCCCCCCCGCTCTGAAACACACACCCCCCCCGCTCTGAACCACACACACACACACACCCCTGCTCTGAAAGACACACACACACACACCCCTCTGCTCACACACACACACACACACACCCGCTCTCACACCCCCCCCCGCTCTGAAACACACACCCCCGTTCTGAAACACACACACACACACACACTCTCCCTGGCTTCTCTTCCTCACCCGCTTTGCTCCAGTTTTCCAGCTGCCACAGGCACTTGGTGGCACAGTCCGGAGCTCTGCCTCCCTCGCCCCCAGGATGCGCCAGGACTTTCTTCTACGAGCGTGCCCGTCCCAAAGCCGCACTTACCTCTGCTGCTGCTGGGGAGGAGAGAGCCGTGTCCCCCCAGCGAGGAGACCGCGGCCCGAGCTGGGGCTGCTGCTCCCTCAACTCATACCCCTGCCCGCCGCCAACAGGGGCTGCTCAGACTGTAGGTTTAAAGCAGCTGGGCTGGGGGCGAGGGGGGGATCTCAGCCTGGACCAATCAGCACGAAGAGGAGGAGGATGCCAGCACCAAGCAATTTCTTCCCTTGAGCATCACTGAGCAGCTCGAGGCTGCCTGGTTTGTGCGACCCAAGGCAGCCCAGGGGCCGGGAGAGCCGCCCGGGCGCCCAGTGCTCGGCCCCTGCCAGCTGCTCCCCCGGCCACCCCCCACAGAGGGGGGAGTTTGCGCCTTCATAGGGCCCCTGATGCACCAGGCCCGCCCACCTGAATCTCTGATTCTCCAGAATCGCTCCCCAGGGGACCAAGGGCATTTCCTTCCCGCCGGACTCTGCCTCCAGGTTCGGTCCGTTCCAGGCCCAGGCCCAAGGCCTTGCGGCCAAGGCAGGGAGTTTGGAGCGGAGCTGGCCCGGAGTTTGGGGACGACCCCTACTGTCAGCTCAGGCACCGGAGAGCTGCCGACGGGCCAGGGCAGCATGCAAGGGGCTAAGCCGGCTCCCTCCCGCAGCCTTCGCCCTGCGCCCGCCCGGTGAACGGGACTCGGGGAGCCAGGCCCTGCTTCCGCAGCGCAGCCAACTGGCACCCCACCTGCAGCCCAACCTCTGCCCCCACTTGGCCGATAAAGCTCCAGGTTGTGATCAAGGGCCCTTCAGAACAGACCTCAGCATTCATCCTCCCCTGCCTTGGCAGGCCACCCCCAGCCCTGCCTGGCTGGACCCCCCTTCCCCTGCTGCCAAATGGCTTGTCTGCACCGCACAGGGAGCCCGAGCAGACTCTGCTTTGAGTCAAGCCCCTCTGCCAGCCACACATGCTGTGTCTGACACGGGCCAGACGGCACCGAGACCCGGCTGAGCCCACGCACCTAGAACTGGTCCCACACGCTGGACGCTCCAGCTGCAGCCGTTCACCACTGAAGGAAACGAAACTCTCGCCCCCCGCGCCCCGGGCCGGTGGAATTTTGCAAGGCTGGGCCACAAGAAGAGGGGAGAAGTTCTCTGGGTGGCTCTATTTCTAATGGGCCCAGCACTGGCTAAGGCTGAAGGGCCAGATCCGTAAAGGTGTTTAGGCACCTAGAGACGTGGATCGCCCCTTAGGCATCTTTACCTCCCTCTGCCCCTCGGTGCCCATCTCCATCATTAGGCACCTGAAGGGCCCAGCACTCCTGGCGCTCGACTCTGGATCGGGGCAAGAACAGCGAGCTCAGCCCTCCCACACAGGGGTCGGACCCCTGTGAACAAATGGGAGGCTGGAGAGCTTCAGCTGAGACTCCACAGAACTTTTAGCCAAACCCCCAGGCTAGAGCGGCTCTGAGGCCTGCAAGGGGAGGCAGAAACTCAGCAGGGAGGCCCCAATCCAGCCAGCAGAGCTGCTCAGGGAGGCCCGAGGCAGAGGAGACGTTGGGCTGCCTTCTCTTGCTGGATTGAGCTGGCAGGCATCTCTTCTGGGGGCTCGCTGGTCCCGTCCTTGCTGCCTTCTACTAGCCCATCTCAGGGGAGGCAGCATTGCCTAGCATACAGAGCACTAGACGGGCATTCAGGAGACCATGTTCTCTCTGTGGGTGATCTTGGGTGACTCTCAGGCCTGCTCTGTGCCTCAGTTTCTCTATATAATGGGGTAAAGACACCTCCTCCTTTGTACCGTGCTTTGAGATCTAGGGATTGTAACTTGGATGGCCACCATCTTCATCCCTACGGAAGCGCCACTCGCTCTACTGGAACCGCAGCACAAGCAAATCTACACCAGAAAGAGACCCTAGAGCTGCACCCTGAAAAGCGTTAAAGCCCGGAACAAACAAAGCCGCGCCTCTCCTGCCAGCCACACGCACAACGCCCCTCGTCCGGGAGCCGCGCAGGGGAATCCCGCCACGACACTCTGCCAGCACGTCCCCTTACTGCTCGCATCCCCAACGCCTCCGGAAGCAAGACGAGGCCCCCGGTCGCTTTCAAATCCGATTGGTTTAATTAAATAAATAACGGCGAGGGGTTTTCAAGGCAGCATCACTTCACAGTGCGGGGCTCTGGGGCGGAGGGAGGGGCAAGAGTCCGGCATCAGGAGCGGGTCAAAGTAAATGCGCTTTGCGAGACAAACCGGACCAAAGCCAGGCTGCCCGCCCCGGGGAGGCCGTGCGGAAAACGTGCCGCGTCGCACCCCGCTCGTCTGTAAACAACATTGAAGACTATAAATAAGAGACATTCCCCCGCGTCAGGACTCAGAAATGAAACAAACGAAAGGAAAGTTTCCTCCAATGCACTTGGCTGCTGGTGGGGCGCTGGGAGCTCCCCCGTCCCAGGATAAGCCTCTTCCCTTTCCCACCGTCTCCCTTCCGAGAGACCCCCAGAGGGAGCCAGACCCCGAGGAGCTCAGCCAGGGGCAAGCAGCAGAGGTTCGCGGGCGGGGAGACTCCCGAGCTAGCGCCTCTGCCTCTCGCTGCCCCCAGGCGGGGTCTGCTAGTGTCACCAGGCGTGTGGAGGAGCCACTCCCCCGTGCAAAGCGGGTGTGAAATGCTTGTGACAGCAGCACTCTCCACCCCTCACGCTCACAGAGCAGAGACTGCTTGGCCCATAGAGGACCCAGGCTGCGACCAGGGGCGGGGCTGGCTGGACAGAGACGGGGTGAAGGCTGTGGCTTTGTCCACTGGACATGTCACCACAAGCTGCCACCCCTCCGACCCCATAAACCCCACCCCAGCCACCTAGACCCAGCACCACCCCCTCAGCCTCCTGCCAGAGCTCCCTCTTGCACCCTGAACCCCCCATTTTTGGTGCGAGCCTGCCCCCCGGTGCTGTATGTGGCTTGTGACTGATTTTTTCTGGGGGTCAGTGGTCTGAAAGGAGACTCTTCCCCCGTGTGCTCTGGGAGCGGAGGCGTGTCCGGCTCTCTCCACTGCTGCGTGCACCAGTGCAAGCTGGGCAGGCTGCGTGCGCACGCTGCACGTGGCCGTGAACGCAGACGCACCAGGGGCATGTGGCACTCCTGTGGGAGCAGGAAGGAGAATTCAGCCCCAGTCTGAGGTATCGGGCAATGCTCAGGCAGCCTGGGCGCATTTGGCACTTTACGCAGCGGCTAACGACCCTGCAGCACAAGGCTAAGCACTCCCACAAACACGGTCTCTTTATGCTTTTGAGTATCGGGGCTGATGCTCCGTGGGGCTGAGGCATCACCTTGCCACGTGCTGGTGCTGGACACCTTCCGTCTGGAGCTGGGCCGGCGCCCCGGGCACATACACCATGCGCTTGGAGGCAGCCTGCTAGCCTCTCCTCCATTCCTGTCAAGCCCCAATGCCAGCCCCAAGATCCAGTCACTGCCCCGTTCCCCAGCCGGCAGCATCTGGAACCAGCGAGGCAGCTCGTGCGGACGTAACCCCTCTGCAAGCGAGCAAGGATTTTCACAGAGCACGTCCTCCCCTGCCAGAACCTGTTCTCCGTGGAGCAGCACACCCTGGGCCTGGCACGGGGCAACACACAGACAAGCTGCCCACCCTAAATGGGACGGTCCCAGAGCTGAGGGGCAGCCAGATGGACCTGGCAGGGGAGAGGACAAAGGCAGCCCCTGGATTAACAAATCAGCAGGCTTCTCCCGCTGTTGGAGAGGAAAAGGAGAGTTACTTCTATTGCAGCACCAAATCCGAGGGGGAACGGAAGAGCCTCTCCACTCCCCCTTCGGCACAAACGCGCCCTGCTCTGCATCCAGACGGCCCCTCCAGCCTGGCCTGACTGGGCTCGGGTCAGTACCTCCCGTTCCATCCTCCGGCCCAGCCCCCAAAGTGCCCGCGACACCTCCTCCTCCTCCATAGCACCCCACTCTGCCGCCGGCCTGCCCTAGAGAACGTGCCTGCTGCTGGGGTCACGGACACTTCCACCGTCCTCAGGGCAGTGCCTGCCTGCGCGACACCGGGGGTGGGGCTCACGGACTCGGCCCCCGACTGACAACCCTGCGCAGGGGCGGCAGCACTGTGCAGAAAGGTGTTTGGTTTCACTAGAGCCGTGGAAGGACAGACGCCAAAACATCAAGTAGGACGGAAAGACAGATTCCAGCCGACAGCTCCAAGGGCCCCGTGCAACACGGAAGGCCGGGGAATTCGCTCCGTCGGTCAAAGCCGTAGCTCGGTCAGCGACCAGACTGGAGATCCTCACTGCGACAAAGGCTCCGACCGAGCCACGGGCCCCGGGCAGCCCTGGTGAGCAGCCAGGAAACTATTCACATCTCCAATGCCCATGATGCCAAAATCTGTGACTGCCAAGGCCACCTGAGCGGGCGACACCAGTGCCTCGGGGTCCCTGTCCAAAGCCACCCGGCCGGAAATTAAAGGCAGCCCCTCGTTAATGTCTCCGGGGAGAGTGAAGTCCATCGTTATCGTTTCGCCGGAGCTCTGCAACGTCTCCTGCTTCCCTGCCAGCCCCGGGCCTGCCGGGGGCAGCTGGAAACGCCCCGGGTCCGTGGGGTTCCCGGGATGCCGCGTGCAAGGGGCCGAGGAAGCGTCCTCCGCTGGGTCGAAGGAACAGTTTGTCTCCGAGGGGGTGCTGCAATCGTAGCCCTGGCCCGACTCGCTCATGCTGCCCAGGCTGCAGGCTGCGCTCTCCACGCTCCGCGGATCTGCATGCCCGAGGGGAGGGGAGGGTGAGTCCGCTGCACACACATACAGGCTCCTAGTCACAGCTGCGGAGCAGAGCCCTGAGTGAACCCGCACGGGGCCACGACCCGGCACAGCGGATCGCTCTTATGGCGGCTGCTTGCCAGAGGCTGGGAACGGGCCACAGGGGAGGGCTCGCTGGAGGATTCCCTGCTCTGTTCACTCCCTCTGGGGCACCTGGCGCTGGCCACCGTTGGAAGCCAGGCCGCTGGGCTGGACGGGTCATTGGCCTGGCCGTTCTTAGTGGAGCGGGGACGCAGGAAGATCGCTCAGGGCGGGGGGAGGGAGGAAATCGGGGCGTCTATGGAAATGAAGATGATCCTGTTCCGTGACTCTCCAAGATGCACCAGACGCTAGGGCCCCCCCACACCAGGCGGTTTTCTCCCCAGGTCTGTTAGGCGATGGGAAAAGAGGCAGATCATCCCCCCCCCTTCACGCTCAGCTCCCCAGAGGGGATCTGCAAGCTCGTGCCCTGACGACGGGACGGGCGGATTCAGCAAAGGCCAGCACCGAGCCCTTTCCTGCTGGGGGGTGCCCGCCCCGGGGCTTTCCCAGGACCCGGCTGAACCCAGCGGCACGTAAGGAGCTGCAGTAGCAGGCGCACCACGGGGGGTCGCGAGAGAAGGACAAACGGCAGCGCTGCACCCCAGCGCCGTGCAGGCCGATGCCTCAACCCAAGGAGTTACCTGCACACTCAATTGCCAGGTGGTCTTGGCTGAAGTGAGACTCCAGGCAGCTGGCGGAGGGAATGGGGGGGGAGCTCCGGGAGCGGCTGGCATTTTCCACCTCCCCGCCATCCAAGTCATTATCGACGTAATCCCTGCAGGGGGAGAGACGCCACTGACTGGCCGCTCGGTGGGGCTAAGCAACACCCCACATGCCCTGGACAACGGCCCTCTCAGCCCCACGCACAGGGAGCGGCGTGGCAGAAAACATCCTTCCCTTCAAGGTGTGCAGGCCCCTTCTGTTCCCACATGGGCCCACCCCCTGCAACCACTGACGCTCGTGTGAAATCAGCTCCATCCCCAGACACCTGCGGCTTCGTTTCCCTCGAGCAGGGACACTGGGCTACATTCCGTCTGCCACGGGTGTGGCTGCAGCCCCGCTGCCTCCCGGCCCCTCCCGGCCACCTTCCAACGCATGAGGGTTATGGCAGGCAGCACAATTTTAAGATCAAGGTCCCCGAAGCAGGGAGCAGGTCGAGGCAGGAGCCTCGCGGGTACGGAACGTTTACTAATCTTAGTCTGAGAATATTCCACGCACGTGGCTCCAGGGTGGACGTACTTCTTCCTTCCGAAGCGCGTCTGCTGTGTGAAGTAGTCGTAGCGCTCCGACTTCTTCCACATGTAGTAGTACTCCACGCACTCCCCCACTCAAGGTCCCCGAAGCAGGGAGCAGGTCGAGGCAGGAGCCTCGCGGGTACGGAACGTTTACTAATCTTAGTCTGAGAATATTCCACGCACGTGGCTCCAGGGTGGACGTACTTCTTCCTTCCGAAGCGCGTCTGCTGTGTGAAGTAGTCGTAGCGCTCCGACTTCTTCCACATGTAGTAGTACTCCACGCACTCCCCCACCGACCGGGTGCGGACCTGCGGGGGACAATGAGTCAGAGCCCCGAGGGCCTGGGAAGGTCAGTACCATCACCTCACTGTGTGGATGGGGAAGACAAGGTGATTCAAGTGACTTCATCCAATCACATGGGGAGTCGGGGCAGGGCCAGGAATCTCCCGGCTCTGAGGCTCATGCGGTATTCACGGGAGCTGCCCATACTCTGCTATCACTGACCCCGGAAACTCTGCGAGGGGGAAGAGCATTTGCAAAGCTCTTTGGAGGGCCTCAGCCAGCTAGCGCTGACTGTGAATGGATGAGGCCTCTGCTGGAAGTTAGCATGATCTACCCCGCTGTGCGGATGGGAGAAATCAAGCAGCGAACAGTGCAGACAACAAGCACGGGGCTTGTGACCACACAGCTAATAAACTGGGATCAGAACGCAGCACCCTAATTCCCCCAGCTGGAGTGAAGTTTGAGGTTTGCTCCTGGTGCTAGCATGCGCTCCTGCAGCCCTCGGTCAGAAAGGCCCATGGCCCTTTACCTTGTTAGCTTGGATCAGATGGAAGTTTTTCCCGTGGACTCTAAAGCCGTGTTCGAAATTTCGGCATTCTTCCTCGCTCCAGGCACAAAGCTCATCTGCAGCACAAGGAAACAGGGTTTGGGGAGCGCCACACCAGCCTGGGCCTCCTGGGACAGACATTCAGGGGCTGCTGGGGTAGCAGAACGAACCGGGACATTTGGGATACAGCAGGCAAGCGAATCTAACCATGGGGGGGGGGTGTCTCACCTCGGATGACCTTCACGTTGAAGCGTAACCGCCGCAGCGCCTCTTCTGCATTGAAGTTACATTTAACCAATTCATACAGCGCCTACGCAAGCAAGAGAGAACTGATCACACGCACTGGCCCCACGAACCGCCACCCAACGCAGCTGCCCCTGCCCAGACAGCCACCTCCTCTTCCGGAGCCACTGGCCAACACCACCCGCTTCACAGTCAGCGGGGACAGTCCCTGCGGAGAAGCCTAGGGACCGCGGGCGTGCACGTGTCCGCAGACAGCTCATTACCCCGCCAGCCTGAACTGGCCAGCTCGGCAACCTGGTGGCACACAACACGCAGCTCCTCAACTCAGCAGGATGCAGCAAGAAAGGCTCCCTCTGTCTGAGTCACGGAGCATCCAGAGGGAGAAGTAGCAGCTAGACAGGTCTCCCTCACCCAGAATTGATCGCTTGCTCCCCTCAGAGGGAAGGGAGCGGATCTCTCAACGTCCCTGCCCCCAGGGCCAGTGCTACTTGACTTCTGTCCACACACCGAGACAACAGAGACTCTCGTGCTCACCTGCTCATTGTCCTTCACCATTTCTCCTTCTGGCAGACTGGCACTGGAGACCTCGTCCCATCTCCGCTTAACTGCTCGGTACAGGAACTCTTCCACCTCCCTCTCGGGAAGGATGTTTGGGTCCCACAGCAGCTGGTCTTCATTCTCGTAGGCTAATGGAAACAGCAGGGCATGTCAGAAACGAGTGGAGCAAAGAGCACACTCGCTTTCCGGAAGGCGGGCTGGGGACGGATTGGAGAGGAAGCTGCTGAGCACCAGCCTGGCAAGAATGGTCAGAGGGAATGCTCCGAGGGTCCCCAGGGTTGGACCCCAGATGTTTTCCCTCCTAACCTGGGGGTGACGCCCGATTTGCCCAAAGTCTGATTTGTCCAAGGCCGTTGGCTTTCAGAGCTTGTGATGGGCTCTGTTTGCTCAGGCTTCTCAATGATCAAGACGTCTCGAGGTCTGTTAGAGGACACGTCAATCGAGGCATGTGACTTTATAAAGCCAGATTCTGCTCTGCCCCTTCCGGCTCCGGACATGGGGAAGGGGGGGGGGGGTTAAGCAACCACTGCTCTGGCCTGGGCAGCCCTCTAGCTGCATGCACAGAACTGAGCAGCCTTCATAGAATCCTAGGACTGGAAGGGACCTCGAGAGGTCATCGAGTCCAGCCCCCCGCCCTCAAGGCAGGACCAAGCTCCGTCTACACCATCCCTGACAGATGTCTATCTAACCTGTTCTTAAATATCTCCAGAGAGGGAGATTCCACCACCTCCCTTGGCAATTTATTCCAATATTTGACCACCCTGACAGTTAGGAATTTTTTCCTAATGTCCAATCTAAACCTCCCTTGCTGAACTTTAAGCCCATTACTCCTTGTCCTGTCCTCAGAAACCAAGAGGAACAAATTTTCGCCTTCCTCCTTGTGACACCCTTTTAGATATTTGAAAACCGCTATCATGTCCCCCCTTAATCTTCTTTTTTCCAAACTAAACAAGCCCAGTTCATGAAGCCTGGCTTCATAGGTCATGTTCTCTAGACCTTTAATCATTCTTGTCGCTCTTCTCTGGACCCTTTCCAATTTCTCCACATCTTTCTTGAAATGTGGCGCCCAGAACTGGACACAGTACTCCAGCTGAGGCCTAACTAGTGCAGAGTAGAGCGGCAGAATGACTTCACGAGTTTTGCTTACAACACACCTGTTGATACAACCTAGAATCATATTTGCTTTTTTTGCAACAGCATCACACTGTTGACTCATATTCAACTTGTGGTCCACTATGACCCCTAGATCCCTTTCCGCCATGCTCCTTCCTAGACAGTCGCTTCCCATCTTGTATGTATGGAACTGATTGTTCCTTCCTAAGTGGAGCACTTTGCATTTCTCTTTATTAAACCTCATCCTGTTTACCTCTGACCATTTCTCTAACTTGCTAAGGCCTTAGGGGTGCTCTCCATTGTATTGGCTTGTAATGACCTCCTGTGGGCCGTCCTGCCAGCACAGATTAGCAGAAGGGCCCCGTGCTGTGATCCTAGTGCCTTCCCAGTCTCACACATTAGCGCACAGCTGTGTGTTGTGCCCTCCTACGTCAGCAGCAAGGCAGGAAACCGATCTAAACAAAGCAACCAGACGACACACACTTGAGGTGCCCTCAAATTAGAGGCAGAGAAACGTTTCTATTCAGAGATAAGGCTCTATCGCCACTGGCATCCAACGTACTTTGTTGTGAGTTGGTTATTTTTCTGATTCTCCTTGGCCCTTTACTTGGCCCGTTCTTTTCTACCAGATCACGGTCAATGCAGAGGTGGGGTAGACTGCTGTCCCCTTCTGATCTGGTCACATTCTACATCCACCTCGCACTGGTGTCCCACAATGGAGAACATGCCCCTCAGTTCCCATTCACGTCATACAAGCTGAGGGCATCCAGTGCTCCTAAATATGAGCTTAACACTTGTACCCTTGAAACTGACTTGCCCAGAGTCTGCCCGGCATAGAGAAGGAGAGAGGAAATGAGTCATTTCTACTAAGCAGACATCCGGCTAGCAGACTGCATCTCAGCTCCACCTAACGGATGCAGGGTCTCAAGCTAATGAATTATGCTCGGTGGCAGGATTTTTCAGGAAAGCTTTGAGGCTAATAAGACAAGTTTGGCAGACACGACGGTTCAAATAGAAGATCAACACGAGGGCAGGAACAAGGCCATCTCTGTATGGCTTCCAAACCCAAAATAAGCTCCTGTGGGTAATTATTTGAGAGACACAAGAAAAAGGGGAGAAAAAAGAGCAAATTCTCAGATTAAGAACTTTGTTCACTTGGAATTGAGCACGAGAACGATCTAACACAGCTGTTCGGGAACAAACAGCAAGAGACCACTACAGCTTTCTAAACACAAAATCCACTTCAACAAGAAAGCCTTCAAGGTCAAACTTTTAATGAAAACGACCAAAAATAAAATAATCAGAAAAAAAAATCTTAACTCCGCTGCACTTCACTGCTTTGCGAAATGCCAGGTGTCTAGAGGCACTGTGCTCCTCCAAGAGCGCAGGTGTCTATAAGAACCAACAGCTGGAAGTTGAAAAGCGATAGAAGCAAGGGGTGAATTTTTAGCCATCAGGGTAATTAACCATGAGGCGACTTAGCAAAGGTTGTGCTGGAGTCTCCGTCCCCGGCAATTTGTAAATCAAAACGGGACGTTTTTCCAACAGCTCCATTCTAGTGCAAGCCCGGCTATTGGACTTGAAACAGAAATAAATTCAGGAAAGTCCTATGGCCTGTGCTGTGCTAGAGATCAGATTGGATCATCACAATGATCCCTCAGGGCCTTCAAGTCTATGAAACCATGTTATCAGAGACTCCAAAAATGAAAGGTGCCTTTAAGCTGCCTTCATTGTAATCTTGCAGCGAGTACACACGGCCACATCCCAGAAAGCATACGGCTGGCTCCTGGGGAGCGAGGAACTGTCCTGTGTAAAGAGAGCACACTGCTGACAACTATTCCACCCGGACCCTAAAAAGCCCCCTTCTGTTTGGAGGAATGAGTACTGCTGGACACATCGCCGTCCTGGCGAGACCACCTCAGCTACAGAGCCAGCACTCTGGGTACGTCTAGACTACATGCCTCTGTCGCTAGAGACATGTAGATTAGGCTACCAGGCATAGGAAAATGAAGCGGCGATTTAAATAATCGCTGCTTCATTTAAATTTACATGGCTGCCGCGCTGAGCCGACAAACAGCTGATCAGCTGTTTGTCGGCTCAGAGCGCTAGTCTGGATGGGCGGGTGTCGACATCAAAGGTATTTGTCGACCACCCAGGTATGCCTCCTGGGATGAGGCACAAATGCTACAGTCAAAGGAAGGAAGGAGGTCTCACCTTTTTCACTGTGCCTGTTTAAGAGGAGGACAGGAACGGCAGCCTGGTACTGAGGTCCAACCATGATCTCCTGAAAAATCATCACAGGGAAGGGTATGAACACAAGGCAACTGTGTTATGTGTTTGCACTGGAATCAAGTCTAAGACCAGGCAACGAATAGGCCCAACCTGCCTTGCTAAGCATCGGTGGCCCACAGCGTCTGTGTTCGCTCGAGGGGGATTCTGCCTATTCAACAGAACAATTATGAAGGGGGTTTCAAGCTCATGGCAGTTTGAGGACCCTCTGGCTTTCAGCCTGGTCTCCATGCTGAATATTTAACCAGGACCCTGCATTGCCTCAGGCTGCAGAGACGAGGCAGCAGAACCTCTTCCATTTTCCGGGCATCCAAAGAGGAGTCTATTCTGCCCTTCCACAGGCTGGGCATGCAGCACCAGACGGTACCTCTCCTAGGCTGCGATATGCCGCTCTGAATTCTGGGGTACAGTGTCCCCCTCACTGTGAGGACAGTCGCGGACACAGGCCGCAGACACGCCTGACTGGCCTGCCATGGCCATGCCCAGAATTTAAGGCCCAGGGGCAGGAGCCAGCCAGTGAGCTCCCAAGGAGGCAGGTCGGAGTTGGGTCTCGGCTTTCTCGAGCTTGAGCACAGAGCATCAGCTCCCCAGGGAGGCGCAGCTGGTCCGGCTCACTTACCTTCTTGCACTCGTTGGCGGGGATGGAATCCTCTTCGGAATCCTCGGCCGAGGAGGAAGCGCACGGAGAAGAGCAGGGCTCTTTGTCATCATCAGCCAGGAAGTTTGCTTTGAAGAGAGAGGTGTCGTTTGGTTAATACTCACCCTCTACATCTCTAGTTTCTCTCTCCTTCCCTCAGCCCCCATCCTGGAGTCATCTGGGGCCTGCTCCATTATTCAGAAGAACTTACCCAGATTCTCTTTTGGTTTTTGCCTATAGAAGAGACTCAGTTCCTAGCCACGTGAGCACTGATCAGTCAGCAGAGCCAAGGCTCCCAACGTGAGCAGGATTGGGGGGGTCTTAGCCCAATCAATCCTTCCACACTGAGACCCTTGCTTGCTTTGGCTCGCTACAAACCCCCAATATGTAAGCCACAGGAACACAGGAGTTCCCATACTAGGCTGGACCACTGGGTCTACTAATCTGAAACTCCCCCTGTAGGCATTAGAAAGATCAGTGATCCAGTCTGCTGCCATACTAGACGAGACCAGTGGCCTTGCTACTCTGAGACAAGATGCTGCAGTGATATTTCTTGGGAAGGTAAGAAACCCCAATATCCCAATCCACGTCACCAGTTGTGCAGTTGCCCCAAAACTCCAGGCTGGGCATGTAACAGAAGTCCTCGCCTCCCTGAGGCTGTTTACTACAGCTGAAGAGAACTGCTTCCTGACCCCACAGCTGATCAGTTCGCACCCCCTGATCATTCAGCTCCTCTGATCATGGCAGCCTAATTCTGGCTGTGCCTTGCAACAGCACCAGGAAGGTTGATGTTATCTCAAAAGTTGCTACCTCAGGAATTTTAGCAACCAGAAATGTAACAATCATTCTAAAAATGCCCTTTCTGCTGGAGCCACCTCCGCGTACAAAAGGCCCGTTAGAAATCAGGGACACATACAGCCAGGCTGGTTTGGGAAAAGGTCCGACGCATCGTGGGACGTGACGGACGGAGTCAGGTCATCCGCTGAAGACTGCGTCTCCTCCTCTTCTTCCCCTGAAAGCAAATCCTTCGCTATTTGTTCCTTTTAACAACAACAAGAAAGTGAAAAATGTTTTTAAATTAAAAAAAAACAGGGAGGGGAGGCCTAGAGCAAACCAACCCTGGCCAAGATCCCTTCTTCCATGCTTTTCCTTGCCCCCCCAAGTCGGTTTCTTAGGGCCCCACTGGGAGGGACAAGAGGAGAGGGGCTCCCTGCAGACGCTGTAGGACGGAGGGGTAGGAGCCCTTTCCACAGTTTGGGGGACTTCAGAGGTGCTGGCAGGGACTGAGCTTTCAGCGACTCCCATGCAGAGTGACAGGCCTGGGGGCCCTGGGAACAGAGGGGTGCGCAGGTTTCCAGGCAGAGTCTGGTAAATCTCCCTTCATTCACACCACAGGGAGGAAAGGCAGAATCTACATTCCGGATTGGGGTTGTACTTCGTGGCTCCTCCTTTAGTCTCCTCTGAACCCCGTTTCTGGGAGCACCTCTGCAGTTACACACTGGGGCCAGCGGGTTAACCCCTTCCCACCTACTGGGATTCCGGAGTCTGCGAATACACTGAGCGCTCGGTGAGGGCCCCACTAGATGGCCTGTTCTAGGCTGTTCCCTTGCTAGCAGCCAGCCCATAGCCCGAACCGGCCCTTACCTTATCCAGGGTCATGTCTGGCAGGTGGCGAGGGATGTCATTGCTCTCGCTGCCCTGCTCGGAGATCGGATCCGAGGCCTCATAGCCGTACAGGGCAAGCAGCTCCTCGAACGGCATGTCACTGCTCTGAGCGAGAGGAGGACAAAGCTTCATCAGGAATGGAACAAGCCCCGAGTACAACGCCAGCTGCAGCAAAGAGACACGCAGAGGCAGTCAGGCTCCTCTGGGGGCGCTGGCCTGGCCTGGGCCCTGCTCCACCAGGAAGGAAACCAAAATGTGCGAGGACAACTGGCGATTCCCCAAGCTGTGGGCTCACCGGGGACCTGACGCCAGAGCAGCAGATTCCAGGGAGGCTGTTTACACTGGATTTCATGCTGCTGAGTAGGTGCCTGTGTGCAGCCCTGGCGACTAGCTCCCCGTATCTGCCCAGGAAAGAGGGCAGCACAAAGGTCCCGTTTGTTTACTGACCCTGACCTGAAGGGACAGTCTCTGTCAGGGGAGGGTGCTCTCTGAATTCTTGGCCACCCACAGGGGAGCAACAGATCGTCAGTGTTTCCAGAGAAACGGACAGGTCTCTGCTGAGACGTGGGTGGCACAAAAGCCCCGACTGAGTTGGGGTTGGTCCTGCTTTGAGACAGGGCCAGACCAGCTGACCTCCTAAGGTCCCTGCCATCCTGGATCTTCTATGGGGCTCTGCACCAGCCAGCCAGCAGCTTGGTGTCACCAGGGATGCGAGCTGTATTTGAACTGGCAGCCTTGCTGCAGAAAGCCCTGCGCTCACTACTGGCTCCTCTGACCCCCCACATCCAAATGGCCAAGCAAGGCCTTATGCTCAGGAGACTGACGTGCAGCGCACAGCTGGCAGATCTCCCCGTATGCTGGCTCAGTGGAGACCTTTGATCTCAACAATTCAGCAAGGTAGACAAGAAATCCAAAAGATAATTCCCCTTCCCCTCCCTTGCTGCCTTTACCTGAGAGGCAGTGAAGCTCTTTTCCAGCTCTTCCAAAGATTTCTCTTTCTCTTGCGTATCTTCTTCTTCCTCCTCCCTCTCTTCTCGCACACCATAGTTCTGCGACAGGATCTCGGCGAGGGTGAACCGGTGGTCAGCTGAGCCCATGGACACAACTGGAGGGATCAGAAAGTCAACCATTAGCCACGTTTGACTCCATACTACAGAAGCAACATTTGGAGAGACCCCTGACTGGTCTACTCTACCACTTAAGTTGATGTAACTTACACCACCCAGGCGTGTGACAAAGACACCTTCTCCCACCCGAGCAATGAAAGTTACATCGGCCTAAGTGCCGTCCACGCTGGTGAGATGAGCAGGAGACGACCTTCCACATGGATAGCTTCTCTCTCTTGCAGGGGTGGAGTAGTTACGCCACCGGGAGAGCACTCTCCCCTTGGCACAGCGTGTCATCCCCACCTGTGCCGCAGCTGTGCCAATGCAGTGCTGTAATACAAGTTCATGTGCCTGCCTAGATGATGTTGTGGGGGAAGGGACTACCGGTCTCTCTGGTTCAGCAACACCCATGGTCCGGCAAGACTGCAGATGCTGCTGGACCAAAGCGCCCCAGCCACAGAGATTGCCAGCTCCTGGGGGCTCAGGCAGTGAGGTGCTGGGAACCCCACCAGCCAGAAGGTGAGTCAGGGACATGGAGCCTCTGTGGCCAGTAGCGTGGAACTGCCAGTGGCCCCGGACAAGGAGCCCCTGCAGCCGAAGAGGAGCAACAGCCTCCTGGCCGGGCCAGTGGCCAGGAAGGGAATCCCAGGAGCACCTCATGCCTGACCTGCCCTGATCCAGCAAACTCCCTCCTTCGGGACTGCTCAGGTCCTGAGGGTGCTAGATCAGGCTGGTCCAACCTGTAGATGGAGGAGGAATGGGGAAAACAAACACATTCAAGTTGTTGGTACCTGCCGCAGTCTGAAGACCTGGCTCGCCAGGACACAGGCTGTGGTTTGGGTATGGAACGACCCTCGGACTCTGCCTGCCGACCGAGGCCTTCGAAAACAAACAAACACGGATGAGAAACATCTTCCTACTAACATACCATGTTCCCAGGCCCCAAAAGCAACACAATGGCTGTGTCTACACTGGCACCCTTTTCCAGAAATGCTTAAAACGGAACAGTTTTTCTGCCATAAGTATTTCCGGAAAAGTGCGTCTACATTGGCAGGAAGCTTTTCTGGAAAAGCACTTTTTCTGGAAAAGCGTCTGTGGCCAATGTAGATGCGCTTTTTTCCGGAAAAGACTACTGTGCTGTCTACACTGGCCCTTTTCCGGAATAGTTTTTCCGGAAAAGGACTTTTGCCCGAACGGGAGCAGCATAGTTTTTCCCGGAAAAGCACTGACAATTTTACAGTAGATTGTCATTGCTTTTCCGGAAAAGTAAGCGGCCAGTGTAGACAGCTTTCAAGTTATTCTGGAAAAGTGGCTGCTTTTCCGGAATAAGTGGCCCAGTGTAGACACAGCCAATTAGTGTAAACACCAAGTAACAAAAACGAGAGAGGCCAAAAGAAGAGTTTCTAATCAGACGTATTCAAGGGACCGCCAAAGCCTCTCCTGCCCCAGATTTATCACCTTCTCATCAGAATCCCAAAGGGCGTGTCTGAGTGCCGCCTCTTCATCACACCACTGAGATCTGCTCTCTCACAGGTTCATTTGAGAATCAAAGTCTTTAGGACTTATACTGCCCTGCGAGGAGGGTTTTAGCCTGCCACAAACGTTATTCTAAAACCCTATCACCCTTTTGTTTGAATGCAGCACTCCCTTAAACTCGGCGCCATCCACCACAGGTAGAATCAGAAATTATACATCCACTAAGGACACCTGACCAAGTGCTTCCATCTTCTCCTGTTTCAAAGCATTCGAAGACTTGGAACAGTCACGACTGGCATTAGCAGCTGAGCAGGCAGTGAGGGAACCAGTGGTTGCACGCGGCAAGGGCAAGATGGATAACGGACAGGGCAGGTGGAGGTGTGTGGGGGCAGCTGTTTTGCAGCACTTTGCATTCGCTCAATGGGAGCTGCAGTCGAGGTACCAATTGAGAACGCCTGTTATTTCTGAGACTGCTGTGTGGTTGTTAGGCCTAGGAAGGGAGCAAGCGAGTAATCAAGTGACACAATCATGCAGACGGAGAACACTACAGTGTAGAACAGAATTGTGATGCCAGCCCTAGCACCCTTAATACCCATTTGGTCCAGCAGGACAAGGCTTCCATAGCTTATTAAGAAAGGATCAGCTGAAATCAAAATGGGAGCCCTTCCTCCCCCTACTATAGATGGCACAAAGTACATGTTCTCAATCACACACAAGGCTTTCCAACCAGAAATCAGATGGCCGGCTTAAAACGAATGCCTCTGGGTCTTTGCGAGGCCAGCGGCAGTGCGGGTTATGCTGTAGAGATAATGAGGGTGATGATTTTTACAGCTGATCATCTACCAGGTAACAGATATTTTCATGAGATCCAAGAGTGAAGCCCCATGGAACTACTGCTCCTTCGTCTACGAGGCACAATGCAAAGAGAATGCCTCAAGTGGAACATGCACTGTGTATTGCAATTCATCGGCCCCCAAGTGTCTGATTATAGAGCAACAATGTGGTCTCTCTGGAGACCCTCTCATCTTCTTCCAGACACAGCCCAGTACCTGTGCGTGCTAGAAGGGAGGAGTTTATGAGCTAATAAAGAAGAAAGGAAGAAAAGATTTAGGGCTGCCTCTGTTTTCAGATTGGTCATTTCTATGTTTTCTGAGGTTGGAAAGATGGCTCCATATTTCAAAGAGGGGAGATGTCCCTCTTCCAGGGAGTGAAGGGACGTGACAAAGAACAAGACTATTTTAATAAATATACTTCCCATACATAACCTTGATTTTATGAAGATGATCTACAAGGTGTGGTCTACAATCATTCACCCTGTCGTTTAGGGCACATAATTCCATTTAACCTCCCATTTTCTGACTGTCCATGAGACAATCTACCTACTGACTTTACTACCACATGGAGGAATAGCAACGAAATGTGTTCAAAATGTTTCAAAGATGAAAGTTTCTACTAACAACAAAGGAAAATGGTTTAGTTGTAAAAATGTCAATGACAACATTGGATAAATGAAGATACATTATATCAAAGGCCACTAGGTGAAATAAAAAGTAACAGTTAATAATAAATGAGATACAATCTAATACTTGAGCATCTTCAGGTTAATGAGGATGAAGAAGCACTCAAAGCTGAAGTAACAACAGGACATTACTGGACATGGAAACCAGCTCCGCTGAAAATCACTACAAAGACAACTGTAATAATGAAAGTAAATCAAATCACAATGGTGTACGTGGACTGAGAATGGACCAAAGAGATGGCAGGCAGAGCTGATGGCCAATTTGTAGATCCCAACATAGACATGGATGAAGTTGAGCCATACAGATGACCAATACCATAATTATTTTTGAATGTGAAAGACCATGTAACAGAAGTAGAGCAAAGCAATGGGTGAAAAAGGTCAGGCTCAAAAGTGTAGAAATTGACAAGGAGGGAAAACGTTCTCGGCTGGACTGAGCGTTAATGGCATGCAATGTAAAGTTATTTCTCTAATGTAAGACACAGCTGCCATTGCTTAAATCCTACTGTCAGATACGGAGATGAAAACCCAACAGCATTACACGGGTCAAAAAATTGACAGATAAGGCCCCAAGATATGAACGGCTGCATCTAAGGCGTGATGATGTAGAGGTAGTTCTAATCACCTTCCAAAATTCTGGCTGGGCATCTCAGATTATTCTGAGATCACCTGAGTGGATGCCAAAGTTGGCTCTCCTGTCTGCAAAATTAAACGGCCACCTGGATTAGGCCTTTCTGACTCTCCAAATCATTGCTCCTTTGATCTGAAACGGACCCTCCTCTCACAACATTTACAAACACAACCACTGGCTGATCAATCTTCAAACACTCTAACATCCCTTCCCTGGTTCCAGATTCAGGATTCCAGGAACATCATTAAAGACACAACAACAATGATTTTTAACAAATCCAGGGATTTTTGCATGAAGCGGTGGAATTCACGCACTGTCAAAGCTGTTCAATGCAATGGTGATGTGTGTCTGTCCAGAGCACAAGCTGAAAGAACACCTCAGGCTAGAAGCAGTCTCACTACAAAGGAAGACAAAGAGAAAGAAGAAGGCTTCCCTTCAGATTTTATTGCTTTTTTAACAGTGATGATTTTCCAAGCCAGCTAAGGGCATTTCATGGGCTAGTGAAGCATGTCCCTTAGTGCCGGCCCATGACAGAAATACTCCTTGTTGCTCTTGCCTTGTACACATTCCTTGATGTTTTGAGGAAAGTGTGCTACTGGCTACTTCCAACTGAGCAAAGGCGCATGTCTGAATCTCACTCCCTTTGTAATCTCCACATGTGTAATCTCTTTCTGCAAGTCGTAAAACTGATGACGGAAAAGACATAATAGGCCATCCAGTCCATCTGTCCACGTAACCATTGCAGGGAATCACAGTCACAACTTTATAGCGATGATCCCACACACTGCAAGGCTAGTTTGTGGGATGTTAACTGGTTCCAAAATCCCCTTGGGATGCACATTGTCACAGTGCTCTGGGACAGCAACTCCATGCAACATGCTGAGGGGGTGAACTTGACGATGCCATGGTGAAGTCTCAGAATTACGTTTCAGAACAAATATTGCAAGGCAACAGGGATGCTGCAGCCAAGGGCCATTGACAAGATGTAGTGAGGACTGCCTCACACTGACAGGGACAACTCTCCACCTCCTGTGGCAAGTTGGTGCAACTGACCTCTTGTGATGGAGAGGATGCCTCTGTGAGTGGTGCTCAAGAAAAGCGGGCAATGCAACAAGTAGGCATCTTGATGGCTTCTCAATGCTGTTTTTCCAAGTCAGCGTCACAATAAGGATCTTGCAATGTGACACCCTGATGCCCCGGGTAACTGGTGTAACACAATGGGGATGTTTCAACGTGACGTCAAGACAGGACAGTCGATGGCATTAGGGTGCGATGCCCCAGCATAAGCTTGGCAATGTGACGCTTACCATCGCTGTGCGATATGGTGTCACCACAGGCATGGAGGTGATGCTGTCTTGCATGCTGTAAGACCCTCTCATTGAGCCATCTGATGGACATGACAAGCCCCACTACCTCCACCCACCCACGCTGCCCTCCACAGCCTCCTGCGCTCCCCCCAGGCTTAGGGTGCGATGCCCCAGCATAAGCTTGGCAATGTGACGCTTACCATCGCTGTGCGATATGGTGTCACCACAGGCATGGAGGTGATGCTGTCTTGCATGCTGTAAGACCCTCTCATTGAGCCATCTGATGGACATGACAAGCCCCACTACCTCCACCCACCCACGCTGCCCTCCACAGCCTCCTGCGCTCCCCCCAGGCTCAGACTGCACCGCCTCCAGCCCCTCTGCACTCCAGTCCAGTGCCCC